TTTCTCTCTCTCTTGATCCTTATTTTTTGGGTTATCAACGAGTTAGGTCTAGTGTGGTATAGCATGTACCTATCCCGTCCCAATAATTAATGTAATTTTATTTATTTATTTATTTTATTAAACCAAATTTTTTATTTATATATTTTAATACATTACATACACTATTATGTATAAACTTTTATTTGTTTGATTCAACCCGACACCAATAATAAATGAATATTTAGTTATTTTATTAAATTCAATTATTGATTTGTTTATTTTACAAAATTAAGTAAGGTATTATTCATATATTTATAATTATTGAACTTACCAAATTATTCATGTAATTAATAATTTATTTAATTATGAAGTTATTTCAAGATCTCTCCCTCAGCCAAATATTTAGGGCTCTCAATAGGTTGGGTCTCATTTGGGATTAAAATTATTAACTGGTTAGGCTAGGGTTGGATTGGGATTTGCGTTTATATCAATATAACATATTTATGCCCTAGTTTCAGTCCGGATTGAACTTCGGGCCTAGATCTTGAGCATGAGCCCGACGTTCATATTGAGCCCAGAGCACGGTGAGGAAATTCCTTGTTTCTCTCTCATTTTGTCACCTAATTATTTATATTGTTATTCTATTAAGTTAAAAAAAATTTATTTATTGAATTTACTAAATTATTTACTTTATAAGCTAATTCTTTCTCTCTCTCTCTCTCTCCCCCTCCCTCCCTTTGCGAGTTACATAATAAATTTTTTTTTTATTTTCTTATTTTTTATTTATTATTATTTCTTTTAGTTTTTTTTGAAATTTAAATTCAAATTAAATAATTTGGACAATATCTTAGTTAACAATTAGTTATTCAATTAAATAACAAAAAAAAAGAAATTAAATAAGGCAACAACTAATTATAATAAATAGAAAATAAAAGAAATAGTTATGCAAAAAAGAGAAATTAACTATTACCAAAATAAATTCTAACAAGAAAATTGCTATTCTAAAAATTAAACAAAAGAAATTTATGCGGTAATAATTAAAATAAAATAAAATAAACAATTTTTTTTTTCTGTTTTTTTATCTAAAAGAAAAGAAAAACACAAACCTAATAAGATAGAAATTCGAACAAGAAATTAAAATAAAGAAAGAAAATTTGATCTAGAAGAAATAAAATGGAAGAAAAATACTACTAAAAATAAATAAATCGGATCTAGAAAAAAAACTTAAATAAAAATTCGAAAATCACTATTCTACAAAAAAAGAGTTCGAAAGCAAAAATAAAAATATCAATAAGAAAATGGAATGACCACCTAAAACGCAATCTAATTTCTCTTCTCTTCTCTTTTCTTCCGTAGTTAGGCAATGCTCCGGTACCCTACCTTTCGCTATTACGTCCTGCAAAATCAAAGAGAAACAATAACTAAAATGAGATTAAAAATCAAGTAATCAAACGAAAATAAAAAAATATTGAAACAGATTAGGAGAAAGCAAATAAAATTTTTTCTCCGTTGCTTCCCCGGCAACGGCACCAAGAACTTGGTGTTTGCGGAAGCATGTCGTTAACCACTTCGGAAGACCAGTTTTAATATTTATAATTTTTTTTATTCTCAAACAATTCCAAATGTAGTAAATGGTGAGAACGGGTCGTATTCACAGGGAAGCGAGGGAAAAATCGTTATTTACTTAAATATGAGAAAGAGAACACAATTTAGAGTTGCAGAAACACATAATTTAATTAATTAAACTATAATTCATTAAAATAAAATTCGAAACTATGTTGGAAGTGAAAAGTGCAGAAAAATAAATAAATAAAAGGAACGAAATAAAAAGTCTATAATCCAATTAGAGGTAGTAGTCTCCGGATCTCTCCTTTGACCCTCGAACTTCTCGAGCTAGGCCTCCCGTCTTACCTGGCTGAATTCCAGATTTGCAGAAAAGAAAACAAAAATCTAATTGAATGAAAGTAAATTGTAGAAAGGAAAAAACAGAACTGGAAATGAAAGAATGGAAATTAAATCTAAGACTAATGGTTGGGATCTGAATCCAAAGGTGGCAGTAGTGGTGTTGGCGAACTCCAAGTAGGAACGCCTCCTCTTGTTTGGGCATCATTCCCTTCCTCTACCCTTGAACTTCTCAATATCAGCCTTCCGTCTTATTTGGGGGCAGAGTCCAACCCTTTCTCAGGAGCCCTTGGGTCATTTTTATAGAGAATGGTGGATACAATTGGGATTAGAGAGAAAGAGGGGGCGGTAACTGGGTTTTAACAAAGATATGGGCACCCTAGGGTTTCTAATGAAGGGTTATGATGGTTTTAGGATGACCCTAAGGTTGAAAAGAAAAGAAGAGGGTGCCTAATATTTTGTAGGGGTGAGATTTGGGCGCCCATAAATAAATGGTGGAGATTGAGGCGCCTAGGACTGAAAGGTGGACATTAAAAGAGGTGGGTGGCACCCTAGAGTTTAAAAGCTACAAAAAGAGTGCCCTAGAATGAGTGGTGGAGATTAGAAGGAGTGAAGGGTGGAGATTAAATAGCTGGGGGCGGCTAGGGTTTGCTAAGGAGGAGAAAAATAGGTTAAAAGGCACCCTAGGGTTTGCTAAGGAGAGGAGAGCATGCTAATACAGTATGAGGGGCGCCAAACTGGGTTTAGCAGATAGAAGGTGCCTTCCTGGTCTCAGTTTTTCACAAAAACACCATCTCTCTCAACTGGACTTCACACCAACTTCCAGAAAATTGCTGCAATTCAGCCATGAAACTTTATTAGTTTTGCACAAAATTTGCAAAGAGACCCTCAGGGGACACAACATTGAAATTAACTAGGAAAATGACACAATTTGACTATTATAAGACCGAAAATACCCTTAATGATGCCCTTAAGGCATCAAAATGTGAAGTTATCAATATCAACTATCATCTTGCCCTTGGCTTTTAGCGGTGCTACATAGCACTTTCTGGTTTCTAGTTGGTCTCCTCACAACACTCCTATACCTGTGTCTGTTGGGAATTTCAACGCGAGGTGGCATGTTGAGACCACAGTTCGCAATGCATGTAAGATTGGTCATCCCAAAATTACGTTATAAGGCGATGAGGAGGCAACCACCAGAAAATCTTGTTCAAAGCACACTGTGTGGGGCGGCAAGCCTGCCTCAACTAGCACTCTTGCTATGCTAATCAAGCGAACTACCTCGCCACTGAATCCCACCAGCGGTATGTTAGCGGGTTGCAGGTCGGCTTTACTAAGTTCCATTCTCTTGAAGGCTTCTACGAACAAAATGTCTGTTGAGTTGCCTGAATCCACTAAAATCCTCTTCACTCTAAAGTAATTTATTAGTAGCTTTACTACCAGTGAGTTGTCATGGGGTAATGGATCCCCCGCATATCATCCTCTGTAAAATAAATTACTTCCTCGTTCCGGGGGCACTTGCACGGCTAGCTACCCTCTTGCTCTACTATTGAGCCTCCGATGATTACATTTATGGTCCCTTGGACCTGCCTCGCTAGTGACTGCTGGTTTTGGAGAGCTAGCTCCTACTGTCTGCTGCTTTGGGGCGCCTCCCTGCTAGTTCTTGTTTCAGGTTGCCGTTCATCTTTGATGAAGCACCTCAGATAGCCTCTTTTGATGAGATCTTCAATTTCATTCTTCAAATTCCAATAGTGTTTAGTATCATGTCCGACAACTTTGTGAAAATGGCAATATTTATTTGGGTTCCGAGTGATAGGATCCCCCTTCATCTTGGGTGGCCATTTCACGTAATCGTTGGATTGGATTTGCATCAAGATCTCCTTCCTCTTAGTRTTTAATAGGGTAAACACTCTGGTGTACGCCGGTGGCATTGCTGTTTAGTGGTTGTTGTTGACCGTTTCTTGGCATCTGTTGGCTATTTCGTGACACCTACTGGATGGGTACCTATGGGAGTCGCGGTTGTTGATATTGCTATTGCTATGGACGCAGTTGCCGCTACTGCTATTGCTACTGTCCGACGATAAAGGCAAATCGATTCTCCTAGGATTTGAGCTGTTCGGTCATAGTCTGTACACATCTCACCATATCATTGAACTGCTGGATGTTGATTGCTTCCGGGGCTGCTACGGGATCCATGGCTAGAGGTGGCATAACCGCATTTTCTTGTACTTTGGTCGGTGGCAAAGGAACATCGATTTGGCCTAATGTGATAATCGAAATTGGCCATTGATATTGTTATTAGCAGAAGGATTGTTTGAGGATGCCATTGAAGATGGTTTTTCAGAAAAAAAATAAGAGAAGGGAAGAAATAGAAGAAGGGAACACTAGCTTTTCACTACATTTCCCACAAACGGCGCCAATTGGTGATGTGTAATCTAGTCGCTCCCTCGTGTTTAGTGACTGGGCTCGAACAAGGTTTTGACCTAGCAATGTCGAGCTATTCTGCCAAGCTGGTTTCAGTGTGTCCGAGCTAGCTGAGTCGAGCTGTGAAGAAGAGAAGAGTGAGAGTGCCTAGGTAATGTTTACCCAAGGGAATACTCCGATGCTTATGTCAATAAGGGAATTATGTGAAGAATATATGAGAGAGCTTCAGTACTTGAGTGCGCATACCTTTTAAGTGGATTTGGAGTCCTTTTACAGCTACCTAGGGTTCAAGTGCCATCAGGCAACGTCTTTGAGTCTTTTGCGAAGCTGTTTCCACAGTTCAGGCCATGTTGGAGTGCCAGTTGTTAGATTTGCGTGGCGGTTACAAGTTGCCTGCAAGACTTGTGGCGCACGATTTGGCGAGATATTCCTATCCTCACGGTAATGGTATACTGAGGGTGCAACGCACGGAACGGTTTAGACGAGCTTATGTTGTCAGCGGCCCGAGCTTGGCCACGCACCTGATGTCGATTGCCATGTGTTAATTTGGCGAGCTGCTTTGCTGATTAGGACGCTGTATCGTCAACAACATCCACGTGTTGTATTTGCGCGGGGTGACAAAAATGTCCCTCATCACTTTCTAACCTTTTTCATCCCATCAAAACGCAGACATTTTCCAAAACGGTGGATATTTGTTTGCCTTTTTTCTTGAAATGGTAACCAAATCATAATTCTTTGATTTTGGTTGTCCGTTGGTCGTCCATAGCTTCATACCGTAGATCTTAGGATGCTCATCTATGTCGTAGGGAAGAGCCCTCTCCACCACCTAATACTGGTGAAATCTGAAAGTCACCATTTCTGCGAGGGGAGAGGAAATATTAAAACCCTAGAAGTTTCTTTTCTCTCCCCAGTGGCTTACTAAGTCTTGTTAAGATGACTCTCAAGTCTCAACGGCAACTTAGAGCTTAACAGCGACCATCAACTCTTCCGATCTCTTATCTCTTTGCACCGACAACCATCACTATGCAAGTCTGCAATACTCCATATCTCTTGTAACCGCGACCTTAGGCTTGCAGCGGCAACTTCCACCCACCTGAGCGGCAGCTGAATCGGRGTAGGCTCTCTTGGATCTTGCAAATTCCATTGAAACCGAATATGTATTAGTGAGGTTTCTGTTTTGAGTCTCGGTGAATAGCCCAATCCCTTGCCCGTGGAAGTTATGCCGCATGAAATCTCTTGGGATTTTAGTCAAGCAAGCCTGGAGTTAGGGTTTTTCTACATAAACATCTTTTAAATTCTGAGTCTAGAAATTTGAAAGTAGAGAGTAGATGTATGGTATGGACTATTAAAGAAGTTGGAACGAGATCCAAAGACATTACTTGGAGAAAATTAGTTTTATTTTTGTGCAGCACTGAAGGCATCAAGGGAAAGAGCCGTTGGTTATCTCCTAGAAACAATTCTGATCGGGTGAGAGTGCAGAAGAGTGGGGCGAGACTTCTTCTACAAAGAAACTGAAGAGCTTTGGGACGAAGAAGTGGAACGCTGTCGCTCTTAAGCCTGGGGTACATTATAAATCCTTACTCTATCTTTCTCTCTTTCATACTAAACCCTAGTTTCTACTTTCTATTTCGCCCTCTTTTGGTGTTATTGTTTCATTTTCTTGGGTACTAGGGATTTCAATCTGCTGTTTGATTGTGGTAGATATCGTTGTGGGATTGTGCAATTTGTTAGGAATCACATCATGGATCTCTGTGAGTAAAATATCTTAAGCTTCAGTGTTCTTCGATCTCTCTTCGTGATTTGTTTTGTGGTTATTGTTTTGGTTTTGTTTGATCAGGCATTGAGTGCCAGGCGAAACAAGCAGGCGCATTGACAGTGTGTACCCTGGCCTGAAGTATGTATGAATATGTCAATGTCTATTTCTTTGATTTCTATAACCATAGATCGTAAGGAAAAAACCACAAAAACAAAATAAGGAACAACACATACACTCCGGGGCAGCATTTAGTGAGATTTTTTTCTTTTTCTTTTTTTTTTTTTATTGGCCACACAAAAGAAATCTTTTCATAATTTTAATCCAGAATGTAGGTTTTTCAAGAAGATATCTGGATGGTGGTCAATAGTTCTGTTTGAACTTTGAACTCTCTGAAAAAATGATCCATGAATCAAATGATCTAAAGACATTGGGTCATGCAAGCTTTTGCTGTAAGCCCTCTTTATGTAGGAGCCATCAAATTATGGGTACTGATATTTTAGTATTTGCTATATGGTAAATATTCGAGGTCCCAGACTCCCAGTTAGCAACTTTGGGTCCCCTGTTTCCATATACGAGCCAATCTCTTCATCCTAGTCTTCTTTAATGGAAAACAAGGATGATGTGCCTAAAGGAGATAAGCTTCTTGTAGGCTCCTGTTATTGCAAGGTGCCTCTCCACCTGCCAAGTATCTCTCTCCCCAAATAGGCTTCCATGCATTGCCTCATTGGATTTGTTGGCTTTTGTGGAAATTGGTACCATGGGATTCTTATAGGTGGTGCATAATTCATTTAGGGAAGGTTTCCCCTAAGTCAATTATATGGTTAATGTAATTCTTTCCCCCTTTTGGTGTTTAATCATAATCTACATTGTAGCAAGCTAGGTGGATTAAGCTAGATTTTCAAGGACCATAGATCTAGTGTGCTTGGGTTGTTGGGGTTGTCTTCCTAGGGAATTAGACATTGGTCTTAGGATTGTTAACTTTTCAATTGCTTGACCCTCATCAACCTGGCTCTTTTAGAAGAAATGGATGAAAAAGAAAACAAAATTGATGCTACTTATGAGTAGACCTGTTCATGGGCCTGGTGGCCCGACGGGCCGGCCCGGCCCCCGGACAGGCTTGAACACCTATATAGGCCTGCGGGCTTAACCTCGGGCCAAAAAGCCCGGCCCGCAATAAATTCGAGCCGGGCTCGGGATTTGCCAAAATAGCCCGGCCCGACCTATAAATAAACCTAAAAACCCTAATTGAATACCCCTCTTTTTTTCACCCCTTTCCCTTCTTTTTTCAACCGAATTCTTCTTCTCCACATCCTCTTTCCCTTCTTTATATATATTTTTTTAATATAAATAAATTTTGAATTTATATATTTTTTTAATGTAAATAAATTCTGATTTATATTGATTATTGAATAGGAAAAATTTCTAATTTTTTTTATTAGGTCGGGCTTCGGGCTCGGGCTCGGGCTTCGGGCTTCGGGCTTTTTATTAGGGCCGGGCTCGGGCTCGGGCCTAACATATTTCTGTTAATGAAGAGTAAAAGCCCGGCCCGAGCCCGGCCCGGCCCGGCCCATGAACAGGTCTACTTATGAGTTATGGCTTAGAATATTACTGGTTGATTTTATCTTTCCCCAAGAATTACATTTATATTTCCATACATGCTAAGGAGAGGGATGATATTCAGATCTTGCACTAATATCAGAAATATATAATAGAAAAATAGGATAACGAGAGATAGTTGATTCCTAACTCCTAAGTTTTATTCATAACTAATTCTTAAACTTTTATTAATGGCTTAGTTGCTTACCCTTGCATAAAGACATGAATATGACTAACATTAACAAAGAAACTTGTACTTCTTTCTATATATGGATAGAACCCACAACTCCTTTTATGTGGTAGTAAAAGAAGCTTGCCTTGGAGTTTTAAAGAACACGAGGATCAAAGGCTGATTTTTTCTAATACTAAAGAAACCACAATCAATGGAATTCCTAAAGTTGTTTTTTGAAGATAAATAAAAGGGAAAATTCCTGATTAGTACTCTGTTCTTTGGGCCTAGTGCCACTTTGGCCCTTGTACTTTAAAATGCAACAATTTAGTACTTGAACTTTCAAAACCTTCCAATCCAGTACCTGCCGTTAGTCAGCCATTAAGGGGCATGCAAAAGGACACAAATGCCCTTCGAGTGTCATTCAGTTTTCTTTATCAACCATTAGAACTAGTTTTCCTCCTTCTCCCACCACTCCAACAACCATCGATAAATCTAACCCTGTAAACCATATCCACCTCCTTTCTCCCGCTTGTTAATAATGGCGGATAGGATCCACCTATTTGCAATCATTCAGTTACTACCAAATGGTACAACACTAAGCGATCATTTTGTAGCCTACGGGCCCCCACTCCCATTGAACAGCAGTGTGTAGGGCCCAAAGCCTGTAAAACATCCACGAAATGTGTTGCATGTCATGCAAAAGTGGGTTGGACTGGACACAAGGCTCGGAAGCAATTATACTTCGGTATCGAGCCAGATGTGGGATGGGATAGTCATCACTCAAGCTGATTTTCAAGCTCTTCAAGCCTTCAAACGCAAATTAGTAGATCATCTAGGAATATTACGGAGCTGGAATGACAGTGGCTTCGGAGCTTGTTCAGGAGGATGGGCAGGGATCAAGTGCGTTAAAGGCCAGGTTATAGTGATCCAGCTCCCTTGGAAGGGATTGAGCAGCCATATCACCGAGAAGATTTCCCAACTTCAAGCTCTTAGAAAGATTAGCATGCACAACAACACTATCACATGCCTGATTCCTACATCTCTGGGTTCCTCCCCAATCTAAGAGGTGTTTATCTCTTAAACAACCAACTTGTAGGTTCAATTCCTCCTTTGGTTAGTTCCTGTCCATTGCTTTAGACTCTTGACGTTAGACTTTTAGGTTCAACGGACTTGCAGAAATCCCCTGTAGCTCTAAAACTAGAGACCCCTAAGTATTTCCTGTCTCCTTCTGCCAATGCGGAATGCTCCTGTTTCTGCTAAATCTTCACCCAAGCCTCCTTCCTTTGGCATCTACTTTCCTCACTCTTGGAATCGTAAAACATTGAGGTCATTGAGGGACACAACAAATGAGACATAACCCTTCAATAGCATGTATCATGGTTCAATATTAAGGTAGAAGATAATCTTCTTGAGGAAGCGGTTGTAGATTATAATGAGCAGGATACTTATTTCTGTAGAAGAAGATGATGAACAGTGTTTTGAAGGGTAATTTTGTCAGTTTCAAAATATTTAATTTGTACATGTCGTCACGTGATACACAGCTGATGGTCTATTAACGGCGGGTACTGGATTGGCACATTTTAAGGTTCAGGGACCGAAGTGGCAATAGACCTAAAGTATATGGTACTAATYGGGAATCCTAAATAAAATATAAAATTTATTCAAATAAGAAGAACAAGGTATAGAAAAGGTGATGAGAAATCACCTATACCCAAAAAAAACAGAAAAACCAACCCAAAGCTGGTGTAGATTAAACCCCAACCATC